CCCGGGGCGGGGGCGGAGCTGGAATCTGGGACGCCCTAGCTGGGGCCACAGGGGACACCTGGCAGCGCGCCCGGAGCTGGAGAGCTGTTCGGGTGTTCCCCAAGGAATCTATGTGAGAAGGGGGAAAGGAGCCCGCAGGTAACCCCCACGCCCCTGTGCAAAGCTGGAACGCTACATGATCAGGGCCTTCCTAACCCAGCTTGTCGTCCGCTTTTTGGGCCTGGGAATGTGGCGACCTGAGCAGGTGAACGCCGAGGCTAGTGGTTCCACTTTTGGGGACTTCGGATTCTCCATCTTTAAGTGGAGGGAGGTGCCGTGGGGCCTGAAACCACTGGCACCACTGTTTCCCGGATCGCCTCTTTCTCGGAGCTCCCCTTCCTGTGTGTACAACAGGGGTAAGGAGGCTGAGCAGGCGCCTTCTGTGAATGAGCCAGAACCCCAAGGAAACTGATTCCAGGGTCGTGTCAGAAAATCCCAAACCACCTTAAAGCACGAGCGAGACATAAACCACCAGACAATGGACTGTGCCTCAAGAGAACCCTTGGGCAGTGGGGGGTGGGGGGGAGCTTGTCAGCAGTCAAGGCCTGCCACTCGATGGGCTAGGCCCACCCAACACCATCAGGGCAGCACAGCTGACCCCTCTCTGGGCAGCAATCGGCTAAAAAAACGATCAGCTCAAACTCAGCTCCCGCCTTCTATAAGAAAAGCCTGTCTGAGCCGTCTGAACTTGGAAGAGCTGCCGATGGGGCAAGTGGACTCAGCGGCCTGTGTCCAGGAATCAGCTCCAGGACAAAGGAAACCCTGACCGTTGTCAGCAGATAGCTAGCAACTACAAGTGCTGACCATGTCAGGAAGGGAGGAGAGTAACCCCAGCCCTGTGACCTGTGTAAAGCACTTCCTCTGTGGGCCTTGGCTGCCCCACCCATGACCGCTCAACTCCAAGGAGCAGGGATTTCCCCTCAAACTGTGATGTTGCCTCAAGGCCCCATTCGGTGCACCCATTGAACCTAACCCTGAGAACTTGCCTGTGGGCAGGGGGCTTTCTTTTGTCCCCCACCCCCATCTTTGCACCTCTGCTAGGCACCCCTGAAACTCCAAGGAGCTGGCACAGCAAAAGGAACATGAGGGGTAGCCTCTAGCTCCTGCAGCCCACCCTGCCCAGCCCACCCAGGCAGTGGGGGTAAGGAGAAGCTGACCCTCCCACTCTTGGGGGTCAGGTGTCTCAGCCCACCCCCAAAGCTTCCAAACCGGAGGTCTGGTTCCCGCACCCGGGAAGTAAGAGGCAGCCGGTGTGGAACCGCAGGAGGCAGAGGAAGGGAGACGCCAAGCGATGACATGTTTAAAGGCAAGGAGATTGCTTCCAAGAAAAATGATGTGTGAGATTGTAAATGTGTCTCTGGAAGGCGCTGCAGGCATTAAAAAGCTCCCTTCACGGGAGAGTGAAGGTTCTCACAGCAGCCACCCAGGGCGTCCCTGAGGAAGGAGGCGGGCCAGCAAGGGGTTCTGGTCCCAACCCAGGAACTGTGGAGCTCCTGGTGGCCCCCATGCTGGAGTGATGAACCAGAATTTATAGACTTGGGAGGGGAAAGTAGCCAGGGTGGGCAGGTGCCTGGGCCAACCTGGAGCATCTTACTCTCCACCGCCCCACCACACACACACACACACACACACACACACACACACACACACACACACACACACACCACCTCACTTAAAGCCTCAGCACAAGGAGAGACTCAGAGCCTCTCTTACCCAGTGCAATGTGGTTGGGTAGTGGGAACCAAGGCTGGGAGAAGACCAAGCCTTCACTGGGATTACACAGAGAATCTGCAGCATTCCAACTAGAATCCTTGAACACAGGTCACTGCCCAACCAGCACCACTGTTTGGGACTGGTTAGAGATGCCCACCCCAGTCCCTGCTCCTAGAGGAGATGGTGCCACCCACAGCATGTGCACGCTCATGAACACACACACACATACACACACACACACACATGCTCACACACGCTCTACCACAAAGGAGGTGTTCCCAATCCTCTTTCTAAGCCCCATCGCACCACAGGCTGCCCTCACCACCAGCGCGCCTTGCATTTGAACCTTATCTGTGACACCTGCCCCATCCTGCCCCCCACGCAGTGGCTTGTAGAGCTGCCCTGCAGCAACTGAGCACTGCTCAGCCAGCTCAGCTTGAGTGTGGCCATCTCTGGAGGCTGGCCTGGTCCTCTGCTACATAGCACATGTGCCTCCCTGCCCAGTCCCCTACTTCCTCTGTGGGGACCACCTGCCTGCAGCTGCAGAATACTCCAGAGTATTGGTTGGCAATCGTGGGGAGCTGGCATCTGGTGAGGCAGTATCTGCTGCCAGGACCAGGCCACAGTTCTAGAAAGCTCCGGGCCATGGTCTTTCCGTCTGCGGTCCAGAGCAACAGCAGACAATAGGTGGTCCCTGCATGCACATTTTAAAACATGTGATTCCCCCACCCCTCATATTTTGCTTCAACCAAGGCGAATCCCAATTGTCCTTCCTGCCACATGGGAGAATCTGCCCTCCGTGGGGAGCCTGACTACCGCCTACCAAGGTGACAGAGGCCCCCACCTCAGAGGTAGGTGCCTGGAACAGGTGGCTCCCTTCAGGAAGGGGCGCCACCTCCAGGACAGTTCAGCCCGAAGTGACCGCTGCCAAGCAAAGAGCAGGGGAAAGAAGTGGATGGTGACAGTGGAATGTGGGAGTCAGGTTCTCGGACTGCAGTGACCACCACAGGGGCCACTCCATAGAGTCCGACGAAGGAAGGACCTCTGGTGTGACCTTCTGCCTCCCAATATTAAACTGAGCCCCAGAGAGCAGATCACAGGGCAAGTTAGGGAGACAACGCTTGGCTCCTACCTTCTGCTTTCTCATGGAAGCAAAACCACAAATCACCTCTTTGGTGTCTGGGTTGAAAGGGCAGATTTCCTCTGGTCTGGCCGATTTACACTGGCATATTGCAAAACGGCTCACCTAGGAAAAGCTTGGGCCAAGCAGCTGTCATGCTGAGAGCACTGGGCAGGTGGTAGAACCGTGTTGGCTTGGTGGAGAAGAGGAGGAGACAGAACAGGCTCCCTTGAAGCCCAGGCTGAGAGCACCTGTCTGGAGGGAGGGACAGAGATGGTCGCGGGCTGCAACTGGACGTTGTTTCTTCCCCGGGTACACCCAGCAGACAGTGGGGTACGACGATGATCAAAGGCACCAGAGGTGCAACCCCCAGGGTCCGTGTCAGCACTAAGGCAGCATGTGTGCGCTGCAGCAAATCTCACATGTGCAGCCATAAACACAAAGGCTACCACCTTCTCCAGATCCAGGCGCTCTGGCGGAGGGCCCAAGCCAGTGAGGGCTAGAATCCCAAACTGCCTGGAGCCCTGGCATGCCACTGTGGGGAGGACAGCCCCACCTGGGCCCTCAGCCCTCAGCCTTATTCAAAATTGCACCAGCTCCTCAGTGTCTGCGGGCTGCCACAGGCCAGGTTGGGAGCAAGCCACCAGCTTCCCCGGGGAAGGCCCACCCTGGATTCAGAAAGGGGTTCAGGGCTCTGCCCTTGACACTCAGGCTGTTTCCATACTGTCCCTGCCACAACACACTTTCTCATTCTCCTATTGTACTGACCACCTGCACAGTCTAGTTTCTGGGATGACAGGGCCAGTGGGGGGCCGGGGGGAGGACAGCCCGGGGTGCGGAGAGAGGCAGAAACAAGTGTCCTGCTGATGGCCCAGAGAAGAGATGGTACAGGGAGGCAAGGCTCTCAAGGAGCCAAGTTGGATCTAGACCCATCCCTGCCAAAGCGACCACCCTCCCCAATGCCCTTCGACCGCTCCCTGTGTCAGTGGCAACATCACCATCCACAGAGACCCCTCAGGACCACCGGTGCCTCCTTCCACTAAGCCAGCCCACTCCTTATTCCTGGGGGTGAGAGCGATTCCATGGAGCCTCCTGATAAGACAGCGGTTCTCAACCTGTGGGTTACGACCCCTTTGGGGGTCAAATGACCCTTTCGCAGGGGTCACCCAATTCATAACAATAGCAAAATGACAGTGATGAAGTAGCAATGATTAATTAACAAAGAAATAATTTTGTGGTTGGGGGGTTACCATAACATGAGGAACTGTATTAAAGGGTCCCGGCATTAGGAAGGGTGAGAACCACTGTGCTAAGACCAGGGGAGTAGTAAGAAGCACACCCCTCTTTGCTCCCTGAATCTTCTGGGCCAGTGCTATGCACTGCGCTTCGGAGGCTGCCAGGAAAGGCCTAGTGTGGAGGGAGGAGCTCTTCTCTGGGGTGGTCTGGGAAGGAGTGGGGACAGCCAGCTATCAGGAAACATTGCCTAATGGGGAAGGTAAATGAGGCCAGGCAGGGGGTCTCCCTAAGGGAGAAGGCAAAAGCCCACTCATGAGTCATTTGAAATTGAGCTGGACAAA